AATTAAAATATAGTTCTATCTGCAGCGGTATTTGATAATGTTTTGAACATTTTTAAAATATTGTATGGTAAAAACAGAAGCTGCACTTCATATTAGTGACAAACTTTAGCATTTTTGCTGGGTTACCTTCATTTTTGCTTCTACTTTTCATTTAAAATAGGTTTTCGTTCTCGGCAGGCTTCTAAGGTTCTTCTTCTACATATTAAAGTTGTTAAACATCTGAGTGGTGCACTACTGCTACTAGTGGTGACAAAGTGTATTGCACCTTATTCAAAATCCATGTGGTCCCACGGCCCTCTGTGGCCCAAAATTAAAAACTGTTGTTCTTTTGAGGCCCTCAAGGTGGCGGTCACGACCCATAGGTTACGAATCTCTGTATTAGATGACGGGGTCTATCTGTTAGGCTACGTCCGGAACACGGCTATCATCTTGAATGCTGCCATATTGGATCCAAGTCAGTTTTTTTTCCAATGGAAACAGGGTCATATATCAAAGAAGACCAGAACTGTCTCAGAAATTGATTACTGCAATCAGATGTGCAATATCTCGTGTGGTTCAAATGTTGTCCGTGTAATCTTCTATGTTCTAATAAAGTTTTGGAACAAGATGTCGCTGCATAGGCGTGATTAGCGACGTGTTAACTAATCTCCATCAATTATTAATATTAGTAGGTTATTACAATGTAGTCATGGCACAAACCTGTTGCGTTATTGGATATAATGTCTGATCACACYACCAGTATGGTAAAAAGATATCAAACATACTATAATTTCATTGTTTTCCCACCTGGAAACAACTTGAGGGAGCTCATGTATCCAACCTCACAAAAAGGAGATGAATGGCTCGGATATCAGAGGCGAGAAAATCTGATACGAATCTCTCCATCATRCCAAGATACTTGTAAGTTTGTTCCAGACGTTTCCTTTCTGCTGTCTAAATGAAGTTTGATGGTGTTGTGCCCTAAAGTGATGGTCTGCCAAAATCTAATAAAATGCCCCACAATGCACTGCGCAGTCATGATGGTTCCAAGGATTTATTAAGCTCTAAATGACCACATTAGAAAATCTTGCCCTTGATCCGGTATGGCTTCATTCAAGATGGCGGTCGTGTTCTGGACATAGCCTAAACGATAAGGCCTCATCGCCGTTACTTGCTGGYGTATTCAGTGTTTTCATTTTCCCTTTCWTTTTTAAAATAAAAGMGTGTCCTGAGACTTTTGACTCATCCTGTAGAACTCCAGGTTTTTTCCAGATTCAAACATTAAAATAAAAAAAATAGTGGAGATGATGTTTGGATGATTATAGTTGTGTGTATTTAAAAAAAGCTGTTTTCTGTAAAGTTTCACCCTTACTTACTACTTAACAAAAAAAAGTGAAAATTTTGACAATTTTCATGTAGAGATTACCTGCTCTTCTTCAGGTAACTTGATTTGCTTCCTGCTGTCGGCACAGATTTCACCGGATGCTTCTGTTTCTGCTCACCACTTTCATTCCTGTTTTGTTTTTTGTGTTATCATTATTATTATTATTTTTTCCAGCTGCTGCTCTGAATGTTGGGACATCTCTTGCAGGTTTAAGGGAGCCGCCTACTTTCTAATTAAAAGCCTCACAAGTTTTTTCTCACCGCCTCTGATTCTTTTTTCCTCTGCGCAGTTGATTGTTTTTTGTTATTTATTTTACTTTATTATTATTTTGTGGAGAAAAGAAACCCCGCAGCAGCTTGGGCGTTTTTAACTCACCGCTCTTCCTCTGTGTTTTCGCAGGGCGCGCCGCGAGCCCCGACGTAGAGATCACCACGCCGCTGCCTGCCACGTCGGCCTTGGAGGAAATGGCCCTGTACAGCAACAAACGCAAACTGAGGCAGGGCCGCCGCAGCCTGGAAACCGCTGTGCCCACATAACACACCACCGATGGGGGAAACACCAAAAAAAAACAAAAAACGATGCAACTACAGACTGTGGAGTCGACAGGTTCCTCGCTCACTGCGGTGTCTGATTTAATCACAATTATTTAATCACCGACGATGAAGCCAATAGTTGCCACACGTAGACACTCACTCTTATCCTGCGTGCCAGTCTTGCCTTTATAGTTTGTGGGGAAATTGGCAAACTATCAACCACCCCTTAAAGGGTAAGAAAGAGCTAATGTGGTTAGCTAGGATTGATAAAGATATTAGATTATTTTTTCCTCTCTGGTAGAATCAGATCTATTTTAACTCGAGMGTGGTCACTGTTTTTAGTTTTGGTTTTTCTCTTTGTCATCAGTGATCTCATTTTTAAATAAAAAAGTGAAAGAAGGAAAAAAGAAATGGGTCGTAGTTCTACTAATTAGTTAGAGATTGGAGTGTAAATATTAACTGAGGAGTCAATAACTTGCTACCTTCACTTATTGTGGAAAGATTTGTTTCCCCCTCCTTTATAAAGCACATTTATTCTTATTTTTTTTTCATTGCCACTGATTTGCTTTTTGTAAACCTAATTTATTGTTTTTACTTTTTTATTCAGTTTGAAGGCCTTCATTTCTTTAGTTTTAACCAATTCTGATTATTTGGACTCGAGGATAACAGAGGTGTATCGTAAACCTAATTCTTCAATTATACTACGAGTCTAAAGATTGTTTGATTATTTACATATTGCTACTTAAATCAGCCTAATATACACCTGTGGTTCACCAGGGGAGCTGCATTATTAGATGGTTTGGACAATAGTTGTACAGAAGGAAGAGGCCAAGAAAAAAAAGGCTGTTTTCTTTCATCTCAGTCGACTTGTGTTTCAGATTTCTACCCTGCGTTACTTTCTGTACCTACACTGGAGACAGCAGCACTGAGCAGGCAGCCATTGGGAATGGAAATATTTTGGGAACATGAATTTTCAGCTTCATTAATTAACGGTACTTACTCTGCTGAGGGTCTTATTTTGATTTTATTTWGATTTTTAATCAATGTGAATCCTTCCGGTTCTTATCTACAGGAGGTAAACCACAGTGACGTGAAGGTAGCAGGTGTTTTATTTTTTACTGTTTATGGTTAATTTAAATCTGATGCCACTGAAAAAAAAATCATTTATTGTGTGAATAATGTACATTAACTGAGAGCAGAGGGGGAAGTCTGGGTTTGAAGCTGAGCCTGTCTGGACGGTCGGAGCGTCGGGACTCGGGACGTTCTCCTCTTGTATATTGGTTTGTTTGTGAGGAGAGCCCTGAGAGGCAGAACCAATCAGAAATCCCTCTGGAGACGTGGATCACGCTCAGCTGGTTTGTTTTCTGCATCTCTGTTTCTGCAGAGTCACAGCGTCTTCTGTTGATTTAACGTAGGCGTGTCTTCTAACTTCATGTTGCTGTCACTGACTGAAATTCAGTTTCATAACATTTGCTGATTTTTTTTACACTTTCTGTAGTAAAATATATTTTCTTCAGATGGGATTCACTACAATTTAGATGCTGTTTATTTTCTTTTTTGTTGTCTTGTGTTTTTCTTTGGGGGCTTTTACTTGCTAATAGGCCGGAGGGTAAAGGGTCAAGAGTCCTAGGGTCAAAGGTTATKGCTCAAACCAGACTGTAACTAGTGAATTTGTACAACCAAAGAAGTCTATTTTGTGGTTCAGGAATAATAAATTTTACTTTTCATTTAAGAAGCAACTTGTTTGTGTCCTGTCTTCTGTTTCTGATTGTTTTACAAACTCCAGAGCAATTGTTGAAAAACCCCTGGGGTAAAACCTGGAAGCAGTCTGATGAACAGTGTTTGAAATTATTATTTATTAAAGGGTGGATATACTCATGAGCAGTCAGTGTCTTACCTGCAGCAGACATGGGTCATAGGATTTGAGGAGCAAAATGATGCTCTGAATCAGGTTAACTTTATTATGTAACAAAAGTTAAATCTTAAAAATGAAAAATTCAACTAAACTGGAAAAATTTGCAGTGTGATTTTCCACACAGAACATCCTGACTTCTGTCCTCAGTAAGAACAGCTGGGCCCCYTTTCAGAAAGCAGGATAAGTGAAAATCTTGAGTAAGTTCTGGGGTGACTATGTTCATATTCGTGGTTTTCAGTTTCAGAAAGCCAGATAACCGTGATCCTGAGTCTACCTCAACTCACCCCATGAACCAACCCTGCTCTGTAGCAGGATTACTTAAACCAGGGAAACTCAAACATTTTGGGTCTGGGAACCCTTTACAAGGGCAAAAAAAAACTTTTAAAGATTATTTACTGTCATTTCAACCACTCAAATGCCATGGGAATATATATTTTTATTAAGTTTATTATGTTTGTTTTATTAGTTCATTGTTCCCCATGCATTTTTAAAAATAAAAAACCAAATTAACAATTTAGTGAATTTTTTTGAGGACCCCAAGATATCTCTTGCGGACCCGCTGGGGGTCCTGGGACCTCAGTTTGAGAACCTCTGACTTAAACAAATCCTGAGTTTGTCTTGTTTTAGCTGAGAGCTGCACAACAGTGTCCTTTTAGATGTTGGAGCGCTAATACTCTGCAGAAATCTACATGGGTAGAGCATGATAAGACCACGATTAGACACCTCGTCATTTCTGGACGAATATATTTGAGCTTTTTAGATGTTATTGCACCAGTTTCAATCCTTTCAAGTAGCCTACAGCTTGTAGCTATTTCACAGGAAGCTTTAGGGACAGAAAAATGAATTAAATTTGTAATGTACTTTTCATTAGAAAAAATCTCAAAAGTGCTACAAATGTCAAAAAATCTCTCCAACTTTTAAACTCTTAAAAGTAACTAAAATCTATTTAAAAAATCATGCAGGGGCAGAATAGACTTGTTTAAAGAGAAAAGTCTTTAAGCCTTTTTTAAAGTCAACAAATGATTGCAGTGCTGTTCCAGAAGCAGGGGGGCAAACAGAAAGCCCGATCTCCCATGGTCCTTAATTTAGTTCATGGGAGGTGAAGGAGGTTACTGTTCTGTGACTGGAGAGAACGGATGGATGAATATGGAACAAGAAGGTCCTTTTGACATTCTTGTTCCATTTAAACACTGATGGGTAATGAGAGCAATCTTGTACTGAATTCTGTAGGTGACAGGAAGCCAGTGGAGGTTATGGACAATGGGTCTAATATGTTCAGATTTACGAGCTCTCAGTCCTGGCAGCACAGTTTTGAATGTATTGAAGCTTCTGAAGGTTTTTGCCTGGGATTCCAATAAACAAAGAGCTACAGTAGTRGAGCCTGGAGGAGACAAAGGCCTGGACGAGTTTCTCTGCATCAGCAAAAGTGAGAGATGGGTGAAGTTTGGAGATATTACGGAGATGGAAGAAACYGTTTAAACAGATGCTTGATGTGATTTTCAAATGAGAGTCCATTCTCACTCCAAGATTAGTAGCAGAGGTGGAGAGGGGGATGTCTTGGCCAGAGAAGGTTCTAGCCATTGTTACGGGGTTGTTGTGTATACTTGTTTTCTCTTTTGCAGGTTAAACATCTACCACTAATCATCCCTACTACCTGCAAATGTGAGCAGCCTATTTGAGGGAGCCACACCCTCTCCTCTGAGCTGGCTCTCTACCCCTCTCTTCCCTTCCTTGCTGCAGGCTGCAGCCTGGTTGTGGTGCTCCCCAACTACATCATTTCCAGTTTAATAAACTTTTTTAGTTAATCCCACGTTTTTGTCTTGGGTCTCATTGTGTTACTTCCTGTTGAGCCAGTGGGTTGTAACATAATGGGGGCTCGWCCGGGATTGGTTGCAGGACAGGTTTGGTTTTGTTAGTTTATTTCTCCTAGATTTTGTATTTGTTTGGTGTAATTTTCTTGGTGGAGTCTATTAATTTGATAGTTGATTTTTGAATCTGGTGAGGGGTACCGAACAGTATCACCTCCATGCCCTTATCTCCTCCAGGTAGGTAGTGAGGGGCAGTTAGTGAAGATGGAGATGATAATGGTGATGATGATGCTCCACTCCTGATATAAAGCTGTGCATCATCAGCATAACGGTGAAAAGAAATGTTGTACCGATCAATGATTTGACCTAAAGTCAGCATGTAAAGGGAAAATTGCAGGGACCCAAGAACTGACCCTTGAGGAACACCACAMGTGGCACGGSCAGTTTTAACCTGCAGTAAATGGAGGTCAGAATTATTCACCTATAAGCACTAATTAAACATATCCTTACATTATCATGRTACTTTCAAGTGTACAATATTAAACATTGGCAGAGGGAAGGTGYAGTAATACACATTGTTTTTTGGGGGCACAATAATTTCATGTGGTGAATTTAGCTGAATTTATGTAATTTATTTGTTAAAGGTTGAAAAGAGCTTATACCTTACCTTTCCTGGTTTTACTATGTTTTCATATTTAATCTTTATTTGCTGCCACGTCTGTTTGCTACCGGCTGGGTTCACACACWTTCCCTGCACACACACGCTCACTTTTATTCACTTGAATAACTGTAAAGAGTAAAAGTTAAGATTTCTGTAAAATCATAATCATGCATTGACTTGGTCAGCAGTTCTCTGCCACACTAACTCTCTCTCTTGAAGCAGCAACCGGACTGCCTTTTTTTTAAATATATGTTGATATTCTCCATATGCCATCATTAATATTTCTAGTTCCATATGGACTTTGAGTCTTCTTATTTTCTCTCACTGCCATGGTGAATCATGTTATCTGACTTCCATTGATGAGGGCTTCTTTTATACTCACTCCAACTTAACTCAGGAATATCACCTGTTCTGAAACTGAAAATCCTGAGTATCACCGATCAGGGTAGGTTGATTCAGATTATCTGCCTTCTACTCAGGACTTGTTAAGCCTGCTTTCTGAAACYTGGRCCAGACATTTTCTCATTTATTTACAGATTTATTTAAAACACAGAGGGAAAACCATCTGGATCACAGCCTCCCATGCTTTATCTTCTTTCATTTTTTTCTTTTCTGTAAAAATGAAACATAAATAGTTGTTAAAAGCACATCGCTCACTCTTTGTATTTGTTTATTACTGAACAGTTTCTGACCTGGTTCACTTCTTCCTCTGGGGGAGGAGGTGCCAAGAACCAGCAGGTTTCTGCTGATAAACAAACACATAAATGATGTTTTTTATTAGATTTACACATCACTGTATTCTACTTTCATTTACACTTTACACAATGAACCAGCTCTTTAGGAATAGAGGTTATATTTTTATTTCATGAAGTTTTTCTTCTTCTCTTCCTGATGGAGTAAACAACAGTGCTGTACTGAGCAGTCTTGTCTTTTCTTTCTCCACCCACCCCTGATGTTTTTGTTGTTTCTTTTTCAGCTTCATGTCCCAGTTTACCTCCAACAAGAAGCTGAAATCACAGTAAATCAGTTTAAATGAGCAYAAACACGTGGAGCAGAGCTGCAGCTGTCTTCATGTTTGCAGCTGTTCTTCTCACCTTTGTTTCCCTTGAGTCTGCAGGTTCTGGATCCATCACAGAACTGGTTTCTGTTGCATTGGAGGTTCCGTTCAGCTGACAGAGGAATAAAACAGCATCATTAACTCTGATCGGATGAGCTGAGGTGAAACYTTTCCACAAATATCATCAACATCATTTAGTTTGTGTGTTTAGAAACGTCAGCTCTGCCTACAGAGGTTTCATTACTTTGGTCCGCTGCCTAAAACAGAAGAACAGGTTTAAAAAGAATCAGACTGAGAAATGAGTCCAAACACTGAACAGGTCCTGGGAAATAAATCTGACAGATGAGTCTTTTTTGTTCAAGAAAAATA